TGGGCTCAATTTGTTTTTTTTTTTTAGTTATAAAGAGGGGAAATTAGGCTACTACCCCTTAAAGCTGATTAGAACTACAATTTTTGGTTTAAAAATAATGCATTCTTTGAGATTTATACATATTCTTTAATTTACAAAAAATAAATAATAAATAATGCTAAAAATCATAAATATTACAATTACTTTGTAGTCAATTCTCACGATTATATTAGACACTAATATCGATTAGGGCAATGAAACTAGATGAAAATCGAAGACGGGGGCTCTGGCTTGGTGTAGATAGTTTACAATTGCACAAAAAATTGTTTTGATTTTTTATTTTTTAAAATGTCAAAACCTACAAATTGCTTTCTATAATTCGTGAGTTTAGATGATTTGAGCTAATTTGATGTAGGGTTCCACATAAAAATATTGTGGAATCGCAAATCAAATCAAACACATTGGTTTGAAACCGCTGGTTTGAGTCTATGTAGACCCGCATTTGTTTCCCTCAAATTAAACCAAATCGTTTCAAAATGATTTAGTTTATGTTTCGATTTTAAAAATTTCACAACAATACCGAACCCTTTTTCTAATTTTTTTTGTTAAAAATTTAATTTTATCAAATTATAAATTTTACAATTTTCACTTAAAAAAGAAAAAAATCAATTTAGCAATACAAATTATGACTAATCCATTGGTTTTACAAGTCCACTACACATGTTTGACTCGATATCTAAACTAAACTAAAATTGCACCCAAATCATAAGAAATGAAGAAAACAAGCATGTATTTTTGAGAATCCAAATCACAGTTCAACAAAACTACGACAATAAATCACATTAAAAGCCTTTTATTTGTATTTCGAATTTTAGAAAAATATGAATGTAATTTAACATTTAACATTATTAATTATCGTTTAAACTTATATGTTAATTTTAGATATATTACTATAATTTTGATAGATAAACTGCAGATTAAAACTGAACCAAACCTCAAAGAATGATTTGGTTCGAAAAATAAAATGGTTTGGTTCGGTTTGGAAACACTGGTAATTACACCAAACCATACTTTAAATATTCAACTTTCTGAAATTAGATTGGAAGTTTGATATTTCAAAAGTCAGAAGTTTTTTTTTTATATTGATTATTTTAAAAAATCTTGACCCTAATTAATTCTACTTTCTTATCTCTCTCTACATTTCTCCACTCTCTCTCTACAAACCCTCATCTCTCATTCCCGTCACCACCACAATCTCTCTCTACCACCATTCCCTCTCTCCCTCCACTACAGCGGCGTTGCTACAGCAACGATCGACAGTTTGGTGCGACAATGGGTGCGGTGATCGCTACAGCGACAATCGACAACCAAATCCACTACCTTCGTTCTCTC